ATATTTACCTCCAAACCGGAGCAGTTGCAACACATGTCAAACAAAATTAATTTATGCACAGGTACATGCTTGTTCATCTGCAGTGCTCTTAAATATGATAATAATACAGTCGAATCTCGATAACTCGAACACGAAGGGGACCGAAAATTTGTTCGACTTAAAAGAAGTTCGAATCAATGAAAGATATATAAACAGAGGGCTCTCCATGCAGTGGCGCATGTGCATTGAGCTTACGCACAAGGGGGAAGTTTCAAAAGACATACATTTATCCACAAATCACAGAACATCCGTTATTAATTGAAGTAATCGATGATCAAACCACGGACCTCCACATTCAAAAGGTTCATGGTTCGAATCCCGGTGCCGTGCAGTTCCCAACAGGATAAAAAATAAAGAATGCGTGTACTAGTGAAACTGCATTAAGAGGCCTGGGATGCGGTCTCACCGATGACCACCGCCTGTAACGCACTCTCTCACCAGAAAAGGATTGGCCACCCTGGTGCAGTATCTGGCCACTGCCTCCCACATGCATACATCAATCAACTCACCGCCCTCAGTCCCCAGCAGCTGCTAAGCAACTCACCATGGCGGCGGTCAGATCTGCAACGCAGCAGAGGGTGCTAAGAATCTCTGGATCCAGACAGGCCGCCATTGGAACCTGAACTTGGCAACATTTAACGCTAGAACCTTATTTAGTGAGGGAAGTCTAGCTGTACTATTCGAGGAGCTAGAGGGTATTAAATGGGATATGATAGGGCTCAGTGAGGTTAGGAGGACAGATGACGCCTATACGGTGCTACAGAATGAGCCCGTCCTTTGCTATTGGGGCTTCGCTGACAGAAGAGAACTGGGAGGGGGGTTCCTTATCCACAGAAACATAGCTGGCAACATAGAGGAATACTATAGCATTAATGAAAGTTTGGTAGGTATCGTAATCAAACTGAATAAGAGATACAAGATGAAAGTGGTACAGGCTTACGCGCCTACATCCAGCAATGATGACGCTTCAGTTGAAAGCTTCTATGAAGACGTGGAATCGGCAATGAGTAAGGTAAAAACACAGTATACTATACTGATGGAAGACTTTCATGCAAAAGTAGGGAAGAAACAGGCTGGATACCAGGCAGTAGGAGATTACGGCATCGGTACTAGAAACCTCTGAGGAGAGCTACTAGTAGCATTCGCAGAACGCAATAATTTACGGATTTTGAATACCTTCTACCAAAAACGAGGAAACCGTAAGTGGACATGGAAAAGCCCTAATGGCAAAAATAAGAACTAAATACACTTTATAATGAGTGCACACCCAGGCATCATGCAGGATGTGCAAGTGGTTGGCAAGGTACGATGCAGTGACCATAGAATGGTACGGTCTCGAATTCGCCGAGACTTGAAGAAGGAACGACAGAAACTGATACGCAAGAAGCCAATCAATGAGCTAGCACTGAGAGGGATAGTACAGGAATTCAGAGTCTCGCTTCAGAACAGGTACTCGGCTCTTAGTGAGGAAACCAACCTTAGCGTGGATACAATGAATGATAATCTGACGGGTATCATTACGGAGTGTGCAGTGGAAGTTGGAGGCAGAGAAGTTAGACAGGACACTGGCAAGCTTTCCCAGAAAAAGAAGAATCTCATTAAGAAGCCTCAAATCATAAAAGTTTCAAGTACAACAGACAAAATAGAACTGGCAGAGCTTTCAAAGTTGATTATTAGGCGTAAGGTATGCGATGTAAGAAGGTATAACATGGAAAGAATTGAACACGCTCTGAAAAATGGAGGAAGCGTCAAAGCAGTGAAGAGGAAACTTGGGATAGGCAAAAAACAGAGTAAAGAATACCGTTAGATTTCAATCAACCAAAGGAACAGCAGGATTTCGAGCAGGCTACTCAACAATCGACCACATTCATACTATCAATCAGGTAATAGACAAATTCTCAGAATATAGTGAACCACTATACATAACCTTCATAGATTATGAGAAGGCGTTAGATTCAGTAGAAATATCAGCAGTCATGCAGACACTGCGAAATCAGGGCATCGATGATGTATATATAAACATCCTGGAAGAAATCTGCAGGGGATCAACTGCTATCATATTGCTTCATAAAGAAAGCAACAGAATACCAATCAAGAAGGGTTGGCCACCCAGGCAGGGGGATACAATCTCCCCAATGCTATTTACTGCATGCTTACAGGAGGTTTTCAGAGGCCTAGAATGGGAACAGTTAGGGATAAGAGTTAATGAAGAGTACCTTAGTAACCTGCAGCTTCGCCGATGACATTGCATTGCTGAGTAACTCAGGGGACGAATTGCAACTCATGATTACGGAGTTAGACAAGGAGAGCAAAAAAGTGGGCCTTAAAATTAATGTGCAGAAAACGAAAGTAATGTACAACAACCTCGTAAGAGAGCAGAGCTTTGAGATAGGTAATAATGCACTTCAAGTAGTAAAAGACAATGTCTACTTAGGGTAGGTGGTAACCGCAGAGCCGAACCATGAGATTGAAGTAACTGGAAGAATAAGAATGGGGTGGAGCACATTTGGCAAGCACTCTCAAATTATGACCGGTAGATTGCCACTATCCCTCAAGAGGAAGGTATATTACAGCTGTATCTTGCCAGTACTTAGCTACGGAGCAATAACCTGGAGACTTACAAAGAGGGTTCAGCTAAAATTACGGACGACGCAGCGGGCAATGGAAAGAAAAATGGTAGGTGCAACCTTAAGAGACAAGAAGAGAGCAGTGTGGATTAGGGATGTCATAGGGTTAAGGATGTCATAGTTGAAATCAAGAAGAGGAAATGGACATGGGACGGGCATGTAGCACACAGACAGGATAACCGCTGGTCATTAAGGGTAACTGACTGGATTCCCAGAGAAGGCAAGCAGGCTAGGGGGAGACAGAAGGTTAGGGGGGCAGATGAGATTAAGAAGTTTGCAGGTATAAATTGGGAGCAGCAAGCACAGGACCGAGTTAACTGGCGGAACATGGGAGAGGCCTTTGTGCTGCAGTGGACAAAGTCAGGCTGATGATGATGAATCGATGACGGGCATCTGCACACGTTTGCCTTACAGTGAGTAAATCAATTTCGCACGCAGCTTGCAAAGCATTTCTACTTGGGCTTTAGCATTCTCCTGGCAAAAGAAGTTGCGCGCCAATATGTCCAGCGCCGACACTTTTTAAAGACGACAACAACAACGACTGCATAGTGTAGCTGAGTCTCTCTCCGCTACACAGCCACTGCATAGCCAGCACGTGACGAGAAAGAAGGAGCGTCTCTACATGGAGAGAAGCAGATGGCGTTTGAGAAAACATGAACACTCCACGGCAGCTTTAGGTGGCAGGGACGGTTACGTGGCAGGGACGGGAAAGAAGAAGCGTGGCACCAGTGCGTGAGAGACCACCCCCTCAAGGTGCAGAGCCGTGCTCCCGCAAGGGGCAAGGGCTGCAGAAGATAGTTTCCTTTCCTTCAACCCAGCAACAGGTTTCTTTTTTTTTTCCTTTCTCTCTCTTCACGGACGGCGTTGGAAGGAGAAGGGTCTTTATGTGGCAGGGACGAAAAAAGGAGAAGCGTGACACAGGCGCGTGGCAGATCAGCATTTGAGAGAAAGCAAACATTCCACCGCAGCCTTTTTTTTTTCTTTTACTTCTCGCGCAGCATTGAGGATTCGCAGGTGCCGCCGCGGGATCGGGCGGGATGCTGAGAGCATTTTCGGAACGTGGCATGTTCCGATAACCGTCGCAAGTGCTTGCGCATTTGAATTATTGGGCGTTTTTGTCCATTGGAATACACATAGCTTTCGATGAGACCTCATAGTGGGTTCGAATTAACCAGAAGTTCGAATTAAGCGTGTTTGAATCAACGAGATTCGACAGTATCTGGGCTTTAACATACGAAAACCACAATATGATTATGACAGATGCCATAGTGGAGGACTCTGGAAATTTCAACCACTTGAGATTCATTTTAATGTGCACCTAAATCTAAGCACACTGGCAACACGGACCTAACACACTTTTGCCTCCATCACAAATGCAGCCGGGATTTGATCCTGTGATCCTAAATATAAAATTAGGTCCCGGAGCTTTACTTTTTTGCAGACATCCCCAAGCTTGATAAGCCCAGTTAGCTCAAGCTACCTGACAGTATATGTAAGCAAAAATGTAAAAAATAAAAATATACAAACAGATATTGATACAATACGAATTGCACAAAAGCTAGCACATTTGCGACTACCGGGTACATTATTACTAGCTATGTACCATATCTACTTGCGTAGTAAACCCACTCGCTGCCCCCCCCCCCCCCCCCTCAGACCTCGAAAAAAAAAAAAGTTTTTTTAATGCATTTGTTCAATTTATATCGCTATAATAGCCCGTGCCACTCAAGATCGAAACGTTAAATAAAGCCATTATATCACAAAGTACAATGTCATAAAAGTTAAAAAATGTTTCCCAACCATGATAAACAGGTAATTGCAAGCAGCGTGAGCGCAGACGACGTCAATAAAAAATTGAAAGTCACGTTGTTCGCAGCAAAGCCCCATCTGTCAAATGCAGGAGAAACCTCTTTGCGGATAGTGCCACGCAAGCACAGTGGCACAAAAACAAAGCAAAAAACACAAAGTGCAAGACCTCTGAAATGGCAAGCGCGCTGCGTACAAACACGCCGCGCGCTTGCCATCCAGCACTGCGTTTTTGCTGTTGGGTTGGTCATTGTGATCTCAGTTGGGACACGTTCAGACGATACGCTATCTACACAGCTGGTTACAAACAGCATGCGCTGGAGCATTAGAACCGAGTGGCTGGACGACCATGATCTATGCGCTTTCATTACGGGAGGAAACAAAAAGAGCTGCGGGCTACAAAAAAAGATTTGTCACGCATTTTATGGGCCGAAACAAGAAACACCGTCGTGCGAAATTTTCGCTGTCATAACTACCTGGACTTTTTTCTCCCGCGTAATAAATTCTCCCCCCCCCCCAATTGGCCTAAAAAAAAATGGCGGCTTCATTACGCGAGTGCATATGGCATAATGTGCCATCACCTTGGTCTTTGCAATGTCAGGGGCATCAAATACCACCAAACAACTGGGTTCTAGTCCATGTAACAAACAGAAAAGCTCGAAGAGCCCTGGAACAAGTGACAGCATACTCAAAGGAATGTAACAGCCGACAAAAATGCAACTCACGCTTGCACAACAAAACATTTCATCCAGACAGTGGCAGCCCACCTGAAGTAGGCTACGAGACCAGCATGGCACACAATCCTGCTACTGTGGCAACGACACCATGACCCAGTCTTCCTTGCCACTGCCAGGCTGGCTGCTGGTATGAGTGCCACGTTGCTGTTGCTTTAGGCGCTGAAGCTGGTTTTTGAGGCTCTCGCGCAGAAGCTTCAGCTGCTCCTGCAGGCAACCATGCCGTCCACTTCACAACACACGAATTCGTGGTAACGTAATCACGGTGTCAATGCCAGTTGACAGCATATGATTTGAAGTAATCTCTACAGTCATTAAAACGAACCTGCATGCAACGGATTTTCAGGTGCAATGGACCATCATGCAGCCGAAGGTGGTCTGCGCATTAAATTAATGCAGTGATGCTTTTAATGGATCACGATACTATGGCTACAGTGGACTGATTTAGCGGCATTTTTCTTCCGAATTGCCTGCATAAAGTGTAATTTTGTCGTGTTGACGTAGGCTGACTCGAGACTCAACCACGCTGCTGTCTGTGGGCTAAAGTCACAGCATATATAAATTTCAGCTGGCAACATTGGTAGTTTTCAGCAGAGCCAAGCCTCCAGCCACGCTAGTCTCAAAGGATGTTGGTTGCACGCCAATGTTTCAAGTGTAGCAGACTGAAATGCTCTGCAAACTGATTACATTATCGCCAAAGAATGCTTGCCAAGCTCTTGCAACAAATTTTTTCAAGCTATATGTAAATGAAACATTTTGTGTGTACGTTATCAGTTTGTCGCTGTTAGGCATTGCAACCTTAGTTTTCCCAGTAAGTTGTTCTGGTGTGCCAAGCAGGTGAGTTCGACTGTAAAATTAGAATATTAATGTCAGAAAAGTCTCAGTGCTGATCATTTTCGACATCTCTGACCAACTTTAGAACCTCCAGCGAGCCGCGGAGGCTGCACGGGAGCAACAGCTCCCGGGGGCCAATAGGCAGGGGTTCCATTTAAGCAGATATGCCTTCCCGTTGGCACAAATAGGAAAACATTCATACCAAGCTGGTCAACAGAAGTGGCCGAAGAAGGGTGCAAGAAATGCTTCATTATTGGGTAATGCCCTTCTGCCGTGCAGGAGCCACATAGTACCCCTGCAGCTCATAAATTGTAGTTTGTGCTGCCATTTTCTTAATAGCCACGCCTGGTGACAGGAGTCTTTCGCGATCGTGCTGTTGGATTCATTCAGCATGCATTAGTGGAACTAGCCCGCCCCATACTGCTGGGCAAAATTGAGACGATCATCACACAGTAAAGCGCACAACCCCTCCTCCCCGCCCTCACGCACAGCTAGAATATTACAGACATCGAAAAATAGGGACTCAGCCTGCCAAATTACGATAGTTCGTTCAAACAAGAGTGGCTTGTTTTATCCAACAGAAGCTTATATAAGAGAAAAATGTGTTGCTGAGTGCTTTTAAAAAAAACCAAACATGAAAGCCCAGTCACTATACCGGATTTTGATGAAGCCTACACTTGGACAATTACCCATGATTTCAAAGTTAGCTGTATCAAAAAAATGTCGGCCTAAAAAAGATATAAATATTTTGGCCGCAGAGAACACTTCACCGCCACTTTTGCAAGTTTGTGAACATTGACCACAAAGGAAAACAGTCCATTTCTTAATCACAATATTTACTTGCATAAAAGAACATGCTGAGCGCAATCTAGTGAGTATTGTATATTCATCTGCTGCTGCGAAACTTATGACGAAAATAAGTCACAAACGTGGTCAAAAGCATGAAGAAAAATACCACACAGGAACAGCACTCACTCTCAACTCAAGGTTTATTGTGCATGCGGGTTCATGCCTGTATTGCATAAAGTAAGCCATGAACTTTACATAGACTCTGTTGAGAGCCAACACAGTCCATGTGTGCTTCTTTGTCTTCTTTCGATATTCCGTGCTGTACAATGCAATGCATTACAAATTAAGACCAACTAGCCGGACCTTGCATTCTGCTCAAGAATATTTATCACAAAAAGGCTATGTTCAATTATTTTTCCTAAAAATCATTTCAAGTGAAGGAAACTGTATACTGCAATGCGTGAAAAAATTTTGCATCACCTGTGTTGTAACAAATAATTGCAATGCATCATAAGTAATGACCCTAGAGGCTACACCACTAATTCTGTGCTGTAAATCAGATACAAGTTGTTCAAATGTAATTAGTATACCCCACATAGTCACAAAGAAGTGGCTAAAAAAAAGGAGAGAAGTGCATAAGCTTTGTGCGGTCAGGCAGACTTGCGTATATAGGCGAACCTTGGTAGTGGGTAGCCGAAGGTGCCTACATTACATCAGTGCTGCTTTGACTGGGCGCAAACTCTGCCTGTGCACAAAACTAAGTTTGAGAGTGTGAGCGATATTAGGAATGTATCACTGGGAAATCACCAGCAAGCTGCACACTGTCCGATGAAAACTGCTTCCAGCAGACGCCTACAGAGCTGCGCACCTTTTCTGAATTGCTCACGAGCTCTCTCGTGCGATAACTTAAGCATCTGACTTTTTGTCCAACATACAAGCGAACAAATAGAAAAAGTACTTTACTGTCCGCACTGCATTACTTGCCCCTGTGAGCTAAGATTTCATGATGTTTGGACCTTTGGCATAAGTGAAGATAAAAAGGCATTAAAACTCCTGGGCACATTCCACAAGGGAAAAGAAAAAAAATTACCTGCACTAGCCAAACGTAGGGTGCATTGTATGCTGCGAAACACAGTTCCTCTAAACCTTTGTCCTGATACGTCACCTGTTCCACTAAACCTTTGTCCTGATACGTCACCTTGCGTGATGTGTCAATGCGTTAGAAATACTGTATGTAGCGCCTTGCCATTCCCAGAATAAGGTTGGGAGTTAGCACCTGTCCCATCTTCTCCGAATTTTTTCTTTTCTAGGTGTGCTTGACTGCTATAATACGTCAGTTAGCATGCAATAATTTAACTTTGAAAGAAGGAGACAAGGGCCTAATGTTTACATCTTAGGTTTCCCAGCAGAACAAACTGTCATTCGTCTGTTTCATGATGTTCATCATGCTCGTTCAGATTCGCTAGGAGCTAGTCATGGTCAAAAGGAAATTTCCAAATGTTCCGGGGCTTTTAAAACTAGTGAGACATGGTACTATCACCATTTTATGTTAGCAACATTCTCCCTGAAGCAAGGTGTGTGACTGGGGGTAGTTGGCATTTTATGGTGATGTGAACAATGCACGAAACACACAAGGAACCTACAAAGACTAGTGCTGACTTTCATCTTAAATTTATCGACATGAACAGGGAAAATGAGAAGGTGATAGCACACGTAACCATTGCTCTGCTGTCAGGCCACTGAAAGAGCAGTGATCACGTGGGTCATTTTTTTTTCCATGTTCGTGTGAATACCTTTTCATTATAACTCAGCGCACGTTCTCGTCGGTTCGTTGTCCTTCTGTGTTTCACACGCTCTTCATTTTGCCATATTCCCTCACTGAATAAAACCGTGTTTAAGACAAATAAGTGTCTAAAAAATTGTTGATTTATTCATTTATTTATTTATAATTATTTATTTATCTATGTTGAAAACCCTTGGAAATGTCTCGGGTGTTTCAGACTGTTTTGTGAAAACGATGCTGAAAGCACAAGTGACTGAGTTTATTCTAGACCTAAAAGGAATACCAACATCACAGGAAAAAATTGCACAAATTGCACAAGTTTTTAGATCTGAAGCTTATATTCAAGGGTCAGCATACTTGTTATGCGTACTGTCCGCGTGCTAGAAAGAAACATTTACCGTACACATTTTCACATTCTAATGTAGTAAAAAGGGCGATCACGTCAACGTGTTTGGAGTTAGCGCTGGTGATGTCGTGCTCACATGAGAAGCTAGCCAGTTTCTGTGCTCAGATTGGACGACTAAAGGCAGCTGGGTTCCCGCAGTCTGTACTGGCAGTGGTGGCTGCAACCCTCTAGAAGAAGCTAAAAGGACGCTCGCAAATGCCCTGGCTGAAAGTCGCTCCCAGTGGGCATGAAAACCCTACTTACACAGGGCAGCACACAACCTGAAGAGGGTTGCCAACCGCCACGGAGTTGGCATGGTGTTTTCTGCCCCCAAGAAACTTTCCAGGTTGTACTCACGAATTTAAAGCGGTGAAGAGCGCGATAGCCTGTGTAGCAAGAAGAATGCCAACCTGATGGTGCAATGCAATGTGGGAGTGGGGTACGAGTTTCCCCTTTTCTGTGGCAACTCTAATGTGGGCCACACAGGCCGCTGCGTAAACGACCATTTATGGGAACACCAGCTGTCAATCAAAAATAACGAAATGGTTAATTTGCCTGCCCACTGGGCGTGTAAAGTTGTGTAAAGTGAGGCCTTGATATCGCTCTACTGGTGCAGAAATGTCCTTTTTGATCAATAAGGTGCGTTAGCACGTGATGTACCTTGGCGCATCTACGCAGCTATGATCGGTTTTCCCATCTACTGACGATCTACAGTCAATAAAACAGTTGGTAGTTTGCGCTCGACTTGTTCAAGTGTTCCTTCTTTGTGGTGTTTTTTCTTTATTTGCTCAATTTTTTCCTGCGAAGTAGTGAACAAACTAGCACCTCAAGACATCCTGAATACCAACAGTATCACTGGAAGGTTCGATAAGGCCAATGTATTTCACAGGCAAGCAGATCAGTCAATGTCCGCGCACGTCGCTGTCAGGTCTATACTGTTTGTACTTTTTATTTTATCTCTCAGTGGGCACAAGTTAGTCCTATAAAGAATTTTACCCTGTAGTTGCTTGTGTCTGTGCGCCTCACAGCTGTAACCACACTGTGTGTGTATGTGTGTGTGTATGTGTGTGTGTGTGTGTATGCACGTGCACACACATGCACGCACGTGCGCATGCCAACACACTGAACTGGAAAGTGCGTGCATGTGAGATGCATAAGGTAGCCATATGTGGCAATGGCATATCACATCAGCCGCAAGGGGTGCAGCTATGCGCCTGAGCTTAGTCAAACTAGAATCCACGCCTCACACCATTTCTGCACATGAATAGACTTGAGCCAGAAGTCGGCACTTGCTTTTGTGTTCTCGCCCTATTCTGCAGCATAGTTTGACAATAATGAATCTGTACCAACTCACTGTCAGTCCAACTAAACGAGAGCTTCTCATTATACATATTTATAGCTCCACACATATTTATA